GGGGCAGTGCGCGGGACCGCGCTCCGCGTACGGGCCCCGGCGCGGCGCCGGGAACCCCCCAGGAGAGGGGCAGAGGGCGGCTGGCTGGGATTTAAACGTGGTGCCGGGTTGGAGGCTTCCAGGCTACCCACTAATGCTGTCTGTGCTCAAATCCAGCAAAGCAATGGGCTGTTTTATGGGTTAAAAAGAACAACTACCCAAAAAAGGCAATGATTTAACCGTGGCAATATTTTAACAGGAAATGCACTGATTTTTCTGACCGCGTCATAAAATCAATTCTTGCTCTACTCTGTTGCTTTCAAAAACACCCATGCGTTATACATCGTGTAAACATTACTTTGTTATAAGTACTAGTGATTTTTTTACTGTATTTTTAATTTCGGCACCCACATTTTCCTTTATTGAACACAGTGTTACCATGTAAAGCTGTAAGATGTGCAGGTTTCCAATGAACCACCATCAGAGCCCGTGTCTGGGGACTCTGGGCTGGTAAAGCAATTTCGTTATGGTCTGTAGCTGTTTGAAGTGGAGCAGTTCCTCGCTAAACGATGCAGCTGATCAAAAGCCTTGGCCACACGCGCTGCTCAGCCTGATGCTTTCCCTGTGACTGAATCAAAGGGAATTTTTTTCTTTATATCCGCAGCAGCAGCAGCCACCTAGCAGCAGGCTATTTTTCATTCCTCCTCCATAAGGAGGCGGATGGAGGTCCTGGAGTCCAGGAGCAAAGCGGCGTCCCTGGATGCTTTGCCGTGTTTCCGTCTGGAAGGTCCAGCCATGGAGAGAGGGCAACGGCTCCCCAAAATCCCCGTCCCATGTAGCATCAGAGACTCGCAGCAGGTATTTCCACCAAGTTTCCTGAGCCAGGTCTGGGGACCTACTTACCCTTGTGCTTGCTGCCGCAGGTGGTGGTGAACACGGGGCTTCGCATCACGGCATGTTGCCTCCCCTGCGCGTTGGGGCGGCTGCTGCTGCTTGAAGAGCCCTGCAGGGAGCCTGGAAAGTAAGGGGGTTTCTGCTGCTGCTTGGTTGCCGTCTCACCTGTACCTCGTTCTCCAGTCACTGAAGCAATTTCCACTGCTGCTGACAGAGGTAGGAGATTCACAGATGACTGGAAATTCTGCGAGAACAAACAAAAGGTCTGTTTTCTATAAAACAGAAGTTACATACAAGAGAGACGGACAGACTTCATGAATGTCCCAACTGTGGCAGGAGTTTCAGGCAGCGTTTGTGCCATATTAGCCACTAGAGAGTCCAAGCGCAAGCCAGGAGGACCTGGCCAGCAACTGGGTCTGATGGGTTCGGCTGCTAAACTTGCTGTTGTTTGACCTTTGAGCTTCCAGCTCAGTGGGGCCTGAGGTGATTTTTTGACCGCAGCAGAGCCTCAGAGACCTCCTCCAGAGCGCCCTGCCGGACAGAGAGCCGCGGCAGCCTGCAGAGCAAATCTGGGCGGAAAAGGAGAGGCCACACGGCTCCATCTCTCAGCAGGCAGTTACAGGCACGTTGCTTGGCATCAAAGGTCTTGCCAGAGCGCGTGCTGCTTTTGTGTTTCCGTGGATGATTCATTAGTATCTCTGCCCTTGGTCTGTCCCGTTGCCTGTCACGCTGTCTTGCAAGATTGGGACACTGCCCCTTGGGCCATGGGGTGGTTTGTTGGCACGACAGTTAGTTAAGTGAGCCACGTGCCAGATGTCGCTCCTGCCACTGGTACGCAGAGAGCCCTGCTCCCTGCCGTGCTACTCTTGAAGGCATCAAGCCATGTGCTTAGAAATATAGCTTTGCAGCGAATAAAGGACAGTTGAGCTTAGGTTTTAAAGTATGCACTGAGATTTCAGTGATTTAGGGCGAAACACTGCTCTGCTGAAGTTTATGGCAAAAGAAATTTCCCTCTGGTCAGTCTGTGACTTCCTGTGCGAACTTGCTGAACAAGATTTAGTGCTCTGGCTCATCACTTCCCAACCTAAAAGGCAAATAACCTTCCCTAGCCTCTGCAGGTTGTGAGAAAGCTCATTAACAGTAGGAAGCACTTGAGTATTGCAATGACGGTGTGGACCAGGAGGAGTTAGAGGTATCTAATGACACTGAAAGAAAGGAGGGCACCTCTGTCAGGTGTTAGTTTTGGGACAAACCTCTGCCTCTGGCCATGCTGGCTGAAAAGGTTCATCAAAGCAGTAACAAACCTGAAAAACTGGGTGGCTTAGCTTGGTTTCAACTTGTAATCAAAGCTATTAAACTGCAGGAGGGGCACCAACCTTGGAGTGTCAGTAGAAACACATGTGACTTTGGACAGGATCCTGCTGGGCATCCAGACACTTCAGACGAGCCTTCTGAACGAGCTGGTGACGTCTGTCACGGTGAGAGCTTCAGTGAACCCCTCTCTGCTTACTACTGCATTAGTGTTTAAAAAAGAAAGTCTGAGGCACTCTTCATCAAAATTATATGCTTATTTATAAAAAGTTTGGACAAAAATAGAACAAAGTGCTTTCTTATATAAAAGATAATTCCTTGGAGGTTGAATATCCTAGACCTGAGTACACATGATGTTGTAGTCCATAGCTGTAGATGGCCAATCCAGACCTGATGCTGAATATCTCAGAAATTTGGAAGTAGAAGGTCAGCAAGGGATTTTTCCACTGATGGCGAAGGGACTTAACCACATGTCTCCTGCTGATTTAAATATGAGATGTATGGCCAAATCCTTTCGCCCAGTTCAATCCAGAAGAGGAAAAACTGTAAATTACCCCAAAGTCTGGGCCCATCTCAGCACAAAAGACAACTGGCCAGACCCTCATCTGGTGTAGAGCCTGAGACTTTCTAGCTAGGAAACTCCAGCAAACTGTTATACTCGGGGGCTCACATTTCTCATAAAGGTTTGAAACCTGAAATGCTATAGCATTAGCATCCCAGCTTGTGTTAAAAAAAGTCTAGATATGTGTCTCTTCAAAGGTAGGCATGAAATTGAAAACGTAAAGCTGGGAAGTGCTGCTGCAAGTTGTCACTTGACCTTTTTTTCTAATTTGACTTGCTATGAAAACCTGTATGCAAATTTTATGATTTCTTTAAGCTCGGGCTTGATTTTTAAGCGCTTCAGATCAGTAATGCTGAAACCCTTTCCTTATTTTTAAGTCAAGCAGAGCTTTGGGATGACGCACTTGTCCACCCTAGGTAGCTGTGGCGTGTGAGAACTGAAGCTGCTTGAATGGGGCACCTCCCCTCTCAATGGTCTTCATTAACCTGCTGCGATGGTGCGTGCTCCTCTTCAACAAGGTAAACCAGTGTATTTTTAACAAGCGTTTAAGAGGGCTAATGCCAGGCTTTTCCTGACTCTGTTCTCCGGGGCAGTATGATATTTTCCTTTGTGACAATTTTAAATCAGGATGTTCGCTCAGGTTTACTTCTAGCGGATGCTTTCGGTCAAAGTATTTATGGCGGCAATTTTAACTTTCCTTCTGCTCTTTGCCATTATCCACTTGAACACTGTAGCTTGGCTAAGCCCAAGAAAGCCATTCCAATTCTTGATCGGACAGAGCGTTTATTCCTTCTGGCAGACTGAAAGGAGCCCATTTCAAATTTGAAACGCTGCTAAAACTACAAAAACAATCTGTACCACAAGAAAAAGCCCTCTTGGATCCCTTCCTGCAAATTCATTTTGGCCTGGTTTCTGCTCTTTGGGCCATATTTTGTCTATTTCATTTTTCATACACAACTGATTAATGCCTTTATTTGCTTTTAGTATTGCGTGCTATTTTGTAGCATGGTTGACTCTGACCCCCCCACCCCCAAATCCCTCAGGTAGATCTTAATACAAGAAGAGCTGTTAAGGGATAAGGCCGAATTCACCAGGAGTGTTAATTTTGGCCTATTATCTCACACACTAGACATGAGCTAATCAGTGTAAATAGCAAGGGAGTGGCATTTGCACGTCTCTGGCGTTTGAGTGGTGCAATCTGTGTGCAACTAACAGTCCGCGGGAAACGAGGAGAGCAAGACAGGAAACGCGGGCTGCCCAAGTACTCTCCTCTTGTCAACAGCAAGCAGCATGACCCTGGGTAGTTGCCCTAGCGCGCCTACTGCAGCACTCGGGGCTCATGCCTAGTGCTGAGGTTCTGGTGTATCAGTAAAGGCTCCCCGAACAGTTAACTCTTTTTCCAGTTCCATTCATTGCATTAACGTCAGAGGTAAAGATGTCCCGCTAATTTCTTCAACAAATCTCTGCAAATGGTTTTTCCTTTCTGACTGTTTCCTTCTGCCCACTGGGCTGTAGGTTACCTTGTCTTTGCACGCTGGAGTAAAACTGCTGTAAAATCCTCCGGATACAACAGAAATAAATTCAGAGTCAAGACCTAACCAAATGCCAAATCAATGCAAATGACACTGTGTACTCACCCCTCTATATCTGAATTTATCCTAGGGCTTCTGTGAAACCCAACTCTTTTGGCAGGAAGGAGCCCACTGGAAATCGAATCGAGTTTTCGCTGCATCTAAGATATGGCCATGGATGACAACTGATCACTGAAAAGAAGGTATGAAACAGCCACTGCTATTGTCCTAAACCATGCTATGCGCTCAAGACAATTCCACTACGGAATATCACTGGAAAACCCTTTTCTTTCGTCTCTGTGCAATGAAGGCACCTGTGAATGCTGTTAAAGATGATGATATTCCACAAAGGTTGCCAGGAGCTCCAGTGCTTAATGGCGCTTTTGAGAGGGAATCTATGAGTCAGAGGAAACGCACGTGCCAGTTGCTTGCAGAGGAATAAAATGCACAAGGTTTGCATTACAAAAAAAAAAAAATCATTCATGCTTAGTCCTCTTTAAAACAGTAATGGCAGTGAAAAAGTTTCTCAGACTTAAGTAGATGCTGAATAATAAGCCTTTCTCGTTGTGAGCGCTAACAGATGATATAAAAGCTAGCAGTTTTCACCACTGAGTGGCTGCCTTATAATGGTATATGAACGTTGTGCACATGAATAGCTAGAGTATGAGAACTTAGAAATAGTCTTTATAAATGAGACAATAGGCTATGCATATGATCCTGCACTCTAAAAATCACTTTTGCAAAATCAAGAGTAAACTCTCTTGCCCTTAATCAGAAACTTGAAAATTACTTTTTTTTTTTTTTAATAGCATTTGCCAGATGCCTTCCTGACAAACAGAGGTCTCCAGCCATGATCTGGCGTAAAAGCTAAATGCTTCGAGGTACGGTTCCATGGCAGGCTAAACTAACTATGATCAGCGTTGCCACGTCGGTCCCAAAAGCAAAACTGGCAGACTTGCTTCCTTTTGGGGACAGCACTGGTACTACTGTAAGGGAGAAGATAGGACATGGACCAGAACTGGGGGAGATGAGACCGCTATACCACTGACTGAGGAAGGCTTAATAAAATGCCATAGCGCCATACCCTTTGTATAGTTGAAGTTCTGCTTCCTTTGACGATAAGGGCAAGATGGGACCAGATTTGCACCCTGAACACATTCTCTCCGTCTTTGATCCTTTCCATTTACTATCACACTGTGTACATAATCCCCAAGGTCTGCAGTCAAATGCCAGATTCCTCAGGCTCACACTGAGGAATGTGAGGCTCAGCTCATCTGAGGCATGTGGGCTCAGATTTGGTAAAAGTTAGCCATCTACATCCTGTTGATCTGCATCTTGGATTAGCTACTGATGATCACAGTATGCGTTTTAGAAGAAGCTGAGGGAGTAACGCCAGCCCTGCTAGCTCTGATCGGAGCCCACATCTGAATCCAAGGTTGCGTTCCGCCTTACCAAATCACAGCTTTGTCTCCGGTGATGCACTAAGAGGTGAGCTGTGGTTTAAAAGGCCATCAGGCTTGTCCATCTGAAAGCTGACATTACTATGAGGTACAGCCAGTGGGCCAAAACTTGCAAGCACACGCATGCTTACGAGTGCTGACAGGGCCACCCTCTACACCTGAAATAAATTCCAGGGCCAATTTGCTATTATCATGGATGAGAAGGTCAAAGAGGGATGGAATTAATAGAAGAGGGTAAGTAAAAACATAGGAAACCATAAGAAATACATCAAAGGTAACCAAGCTGTTTGTTGTGCTTTACGGGGACCCGTGACATGCTAGACACTTGTTGCTCTGTGCTTTGTTACAGGCAAAGATAAAAGCTCTGCTCTGTCGCAGTCTCTATCAACCATCCCTGGAGACAGGCTTCTTTCGATGGAACTGCAAGCACAGGTTAGCCCCGGGGTTTGGGTCCCTTTAAGCAATTTTCACCCTCAAAATCAGGGCAGGTAAATCCAGGCACAGCAGCTGATGCCACTTGTCACACAGTGACAGCATTGCCAGGGAAAGGCGCTGTGCAAGTCCTGACGCTTGTGATACGCCGTCGCGTAAATTATGTGCTCTGTTGAACTCAGCAGGCCAAGGGTAGTTTTTAAGAAGTGAGCATAGGCACTAGCAGCCAGCTGGCCAGAGGTGATTGCTCAACTCTGTGGATTGGGGTCAGGATGGTTTTTGATGCTGCAATACATCTTAAAGCAGCAGTTCCAGGGAGGTAATGTGCTGACTACAAGACTGCATTTTTTTTCTTCCAGCACTGTGTTTTCCTTTGCACAGATTCAGGCTCAGTCTGGTTGGTGGGAAGAGCTAAGTGTGATGTAGTTACTATGTTACTGCCCAGGGTCCAGAAAAAGTTGAGAACCAGTCTCTGAATTTGTATGCTTGTCCATTATTGCTTGTTCACAGCCCAAAGATCATTCCACAGTAGGAATCTTGTGCCCTGTGGAAGGTTATTACTGTCCCAGGGAAAAGGGAAACCTTCAGGTGGTGAGAGGTGGGAAGGAGCTATAGTGGGGTGTGGCAGGGCACTTCCCATGAGATGTTCCCTGTTTGAAGAAGGAAGAAGGAAAATGTTGGCTGTGTACGTACGTCCCCCCTGTCAGGATCTTCCAGCTCATGGTGTAGGCCAGTGCTTCTTATCCTTGTCAAGAGAAAGATGATGTAGCTTTTCTAAAAAAAACAAAATAAAAAAACATTGGATACCTAACTACTTTGGGGGTGGAGAAAAGAGGCCAAAGATTATTTAAGTTGTCACAGTGGTCGTCTTTTGCAGTCTAATAAGATAAATTTGACCTTTCCTTAATTTCCCCTGTTTCTTTGCTTGATGGCATGCCTGAGAGCATAATGTCTTCACTATTCACTACAAAAACATATTCCAGCTCCCCAGGTGGCCCCAGGGATGGCCCTACGCCACAGCCTGAGAAACCTGGTGTTGTCTGCTCCCCACAGAAAGTCTCTGAGATGCCTTCCTTGAGTTCCTCCTTTCTCCCACGCCACTCTAGGGCTCTTTAACTGTCTGGCTGCTTCACTGCGACGTTTCAGTCCTGAAGGAATTCAGTTTGAAAGCCTTTCTCACCAGTTCGTGGGAAGGTAATGTTGACTTCTGGAAACAGAATGAAATAAAGAACATCAGAGCAGTAGTTCAATACTCCATGCTGGCTTTTGCAAGCACTGAACCTTTCCCCTGGGCATTCCCAGCTACGCAGAAACCCGCAGTGATTTTCAGGGCTTTACATGCCCAGGACACTAGCAGCAGTCTCATGCAAAGGAAGAAAGCCCTTAGCAAATGCCACTACCCCTTGGGCTCTAGAAGGAGTCCTCGTTGGAATGGAGGCCCAAGAGCTCCTCAGCCAAACTGGTGAGACCATTTTCTTCCAGGGCTGCAATCAGCCGCGCTATTGTGGCCTTCTTCCCCTCCGACTGGATAAATCTGAGAAGCAGCTGATAGGCTTGCTCATATAGTCCCTCTCGGTCATATTCGAGGGCCAGGTTATCAATAACAGGATCACGCAGGGCACGGCAGTTCTTCTGCAAGGAGCGACCCACTTGCTTCCATTTCTTCGACACGAGCTTGGCAAATTTTTGATGGTCGTCTGACGTGAGCATTCTGTTGGCTTGAAGAGAACAGAGGGCAGTTAAAACACGGGGATTTCATGGCCAGTGCAATGCTGCCGGGGCCATTCCACAGTTTGCTCCATGTGCTGAGCAGCACAGAGTCTATTCAGCGTCCACAGAAAGTAGCACGTCTAGTGCATTAAACTCTTGTGGAGCAGTTCTATCTGTCCTCCAGTGTTTTATCACCAGGGCAGCGCTGTCAGTCTAGAACAGAAGTGCGAGAGCAGCGAAGCTAAAGGGCCAGCCCCCCTCCCACCGCCAGGCAGGGTGCTCCCTACGCAGATCTCTACAGTCTGAGAGCATTCCTCCACCACTAGAAAGAGAGAATCTGTTTTACAAAACCAGCCAGATCATTGCTGTGCTGTCAGCTTGGTGCTGTAATGAGCCGAGTCCCAGATCTTAAAAATTAATGAAATAGTATTAAGTTAATTTATAACATTTTGCATAGGTGCTAGGCCTCTCCCTTTTCCTCTGTGTGTGTGTGTGTGTGTGTATCATATTTAATGGCTCTTTGGATTTTTAAAATAATTTTTCATATACACGTTCAGCCACAAGAAACACTACGAAGGGATCCGGATACTATTGCTGTTATGAGTGGACTTGACCCATCATGTATGCTGGTTTGCCCAGGATATTGATTTGGTGCAAGGCTCACTGCTAAATGTCTCCCTGTTTTCTGTGTGTGAGCTGGACGTGTCCCATCAAGGTACAGGGGGTGCCCTGCCACTCTGGTGGGTGTGCACGGAGCGTCGAGGAGAGGGTTGGTCACACCATTCTGCGTTTAGTCTGCAGTCCCCAAGGGCAGTGCTGATGCCTTGGTCTGAGCTCCCTGCTTGGCTCACGCTGTTCCCTTACTGAAATCCTCCCACACCACAAGGGTAGCTGGGCTTAGAGTGTCCCCAAGCCTAGTGATGCCCTTTTTTCTCCCCTGGGATGGCATGGTCCTGTGATTTGCCAAAGCTGTCTTTTTTTGGGCGCCCTCTTGCTTGTTTCAGCCTCTCCCCAACCTTTCAAAAGCAACTCGTAAGGCCCTTCTGACCAAGTCCCCTGAACCCGTCTAAGCATCCTCTGCTGAGCCTCAAAATTACTGAAATGCAGACAGGAGCTCTCGCCTCAGCTATTTAGCACTGCAGCCTGTACACACTACTTAAGCACACTCGGAAAAGATCAAGCTGGTGTCTGCAGTAACCTTCCCTGGCAGAAATCCCAGTCTGATCCAACTACTGCTTTTATCCCTATGCTCAGCCAAGTAACATGGAAGAAAAGAAAACCACTCTGTATTCTTCCTTCAGCATTAAGGAGTTTTGAAATGTGAGGAACCTGGAAGGGATGCAGTCTCTGAAGCATCTGGTTCTGTTCCGCCCCAGAAAGAAAATAGGCTGAGGCCTAATCTGAAACACTAGGGCAGTAACCTAGTACTCTCATAATTCCTTTGGAAATTCTTGACTTATGTGAGGTAGATCCTATTACATAGTCACCTTAATCCTTCTCCCTTTTGGCCTTTGAGGTAAGGAAAACCAAAGATTGTGATGGCTCAGTTCTAGCTACTCACCAAATTGTTGTTCCTGAAAGACAAAGGTGACTTCTGGGGAAAGGGAGCTGCCTTGAGATGGATAAGGTAGACGCAGGGAGTTCGGAGACATGCAATCTTTTGCAGTCATATTGTTGCTGAAGTTCTGGTGAAGAACCAGGCTCTTGAGACACTCCTCCAGCTCTGTGATTTCCTCATCCCTCAGGCGGTCAGGCTGTAATGCAAACGGCATCAGTGATTTGTGCCAGGCTCACCATCTCACAAAGCCACAGGTGCTCTGCTGGAAGGCATGTTTTTAGTGCAGCCTAAGAGGATGATGTCAAGAGAGAAGCAATGCGACACCTATAGCTCACACTGTAAACTTGTCAAATGAAATAATCTAATGGAGTGCTTCTGGCCAGGAATGTGTGATGTGATGTGCAATAGGCAATCTTCCTCTCTTGGGTTTTTTACATGCATCAGTGACTGCTTACAAGTTGTAGGAAACTGCTAATAGTTACTTTCAGTAGCCCTCTCTAAGAATTAAGCTGCACCACTGTCAGTGTGGCTTCTCCGATTTACTCCACATGAGGATCAGACCCAGCAAATAGGGTGACCTGATTTAACAATGCATGGCCACCAAAGCAGGCAGCTCCTGCTACCTCCTTTCTCTCTGCCTGCCCCCTCCATTATCTCATTTTTGCTGTTCCTAACGCTTCTTGGATCCTCCTTGAGCCAGCTTTTCTCACTAACCAGGAGAAAAATAACCCAACCTCCCAAAAGCAGGTAATGAGAAAAGGATTAAAGAAGTGGGTCAAAGCATATGGGAAGAGTCAAACATGGCAAGCGCTTTGACTCAGTCTAGCGTTGAGACCACATGCAACAGGCTAGTTAACCTAGCGCTGTCCTTAGCCAGTGACCACTATGCCATCTTGTGATCTTTCTGGCTGTTGCATCATTAGACTGAGTCAGTTTTGGGGAACCGTGAATAAGCCCATCTCTTTTGGCTAGTCAGCTAATTCTCTCTCCCAGAGGAAGGGAGCAGCAGGCAGAAGTTGACAGGGTATGTGGTATCACATGTTGCTTAATTCCAGGCTGAAAGGTTTTCATTTTGTTTCATTCTCTGCGCGTGCAGAAAAGCATTCTGCCAAAATGTGCTTTTGTGCTTAACCTTCCCAGGTAGCCAGTGACTATCTGTTTCTCAGGACCATCAAGCAGGAACCCAAGATGTGAGGTATTGTTAATGCCAGACGAAACAAAGATCTGAAGAGCAGCCAGAAAGAGAGGAGAAAGGCAAACAGTTTAATCACATGTCAAGTGCGTTGGTTTTGTGGTGAGATGACAAGATCCCACTGTTCTTGCTAGCAGGATTAGAGAGCCAGTGCCAAAGCGTGAGATGCATTAGACATTAGATGTCGCCCCTGAGAGACACTTTGCCTCCAGCATGGCAGCCACCTCCTGCTGGCAGCAGATGCTCTGTGTCCCCAGTTTGTCACAAGTCGTTTTCGTAAGGTGCAGGGTGTTTGCGCTTGCACTCGCTTGTAGGTGCAGTTACCATTGCTGCTCTCGGAGGCGGCGTGCGGGGTGGGGGAGGAAGGTGCCAGGTAGTGACTGTTCCACCCCAGACTGCTCTCTCTCCTCTGCCTGGCTCACAGGAGTAACAAGGCACTCTTGCTTGTGCTCTCACTGACACCTTCTGCAAAATGGGCAGAATGGTAATTCCTCCTCTTAGTGGTGACAGCAGCACTAATTGTTAAGCAGAGAGAGTTCAGTGGTTTAGCAGAATCTCCACAGGCCGTGTTAGGAATTTCTCTGGCTCTTTCAGAAAAGCGCCCGCTCTTTTCTGAAGAAGAGCAGGGCTGTTTTTCTGTGTTTTTCTGTTTCTCAGGACCATCAAGCAGGAACCCAAGATGTGAGGTATTGTTAATGCCAGACGAAACAAAGATCTGAAGAGGAGCCAGAAAGAGAGGAGAAAGGCAAACAGTTCAATCACATGTCAAGCGCGTTGGTGAGAGCTGAAGGACGGAGAAGCTGACAACCCAGTACATGTCAGCAACAGAGCAGGATCTGCACCCGCTCCCAAGCCCTGTGCTACCGTTCTTCGCTGCTGCCTGGCCTCCCTCCCTCTCCCGTTCACCTTTTCTTTGTAGATGCACTCTAGGCAGCGGTCCTCATCCTTCAGCATGTTGTCGAGGTGCTCGCTGCCAGCCTTCAGCTCCATTTCAAGAGGCACTGTGCTCATGGCCAAGGAGAGCTGGAGGTGATTCTGGAGAGACTCCTGGAGCGCTCCCTCCCGGTAACTCTGCAGGAAGCGGCGGCAGTTCTCCTGCTTGCAGAACTTGAGCTGGATTATCAGGTGCGGGTGGCTGCAGTGCACTTTGAGCATGTCCACACCATTCAGGCTGCCGGTGGAGTCTGGCAGGGAGAAGCGAGCAGAGTCACTATCCAGGCATGAGAGAGACAACCCAGACCCACTCCCATCCACCACCAAGCCTGCAATGGGATAGCTTGTGAATTGTCTTCTCTCTGTGACAAAATCTTCTGGGATGAAAAACCTCTACGTAAAACCAAGAGGAAAGGATTAAGTGTTTGCTGGCCTGAATCCCCATGAAGCGTGGTATGCGCTTGAACGGAAGCTGTTGGACACCACAGCCCAGGTAATTACCCTGAAACACAGATTGCTGGGGGAGGTTTTAAGTTTCAGTTCATAAACAAGCAGAGTAGCTTAGTCTCTGCAACTAAGAAAGACCCTCTAACTCTATTGTAAAATGCGCTATGCAAACAAGAGCTGCTGCTACTCAGTGCTGTAGGAGCAGTGGCTGAGCTGAATTAGTGCTGCACACAGCTCGGTTGCTCTCGTCCACACTAAGCGCGCAGCTGCAAAGTGCAGAATTTGTCCTGATCCCCGCTCAGTCCTGCACGGGCCAATGCTGTGGTTTGCAGCAGCCAGTAACTTTGCTCATGGTTCCATTCTAGGAGAGAAACGCTTACATTAAACCAGTGAGACAACTCTGAAATCCAGCTATGAATTAACTAGAGCTGACTTCTGGAGACATGAAAAAGGGAGTTCTCCCCAGAGGGCCTGGCCACTAGGACCAGCTCCGTCTTAGGGGTCTGAGCGTCAGCTCCTAGCTTCAGCCCCAGCTCCTGTAACCAGCAGTGGAAACACTTTGTCAGAAAGGGTGTCCCAGCAGCCCCTCCTCTAGGACATGCAGCTTCAGACAGCCACAGCTGTCCTGTTAGCAGAGAGGAGATGAAAATGGATTGGTTCACTTATAGGCAGCTAGGGAGAAAATTGTGGAATTCCCCTAGGGAATAAAAACAACATCTCAGAAATAGAAAACATAGCCAGGTCAATCAAAACTTCTGATTTGAACAGCTCGGGAAAAGTTTCATTTTGATTGGAGATCATTAGGTGAGTAATATGAAAGGAAATGCTGAAGGCAAATTGTTTGACATTGGAAACTCAAGGTAAGTCAGGTGTCAAAAACACCAAAACTGGCTGCTTCAATAGTTCAGAATAAAAACAAATTCCCAAAACAAAAAGATCTGTTAATAGAGCCCTATTTCAGACTGTTTTGTTGCAGCAAAGCATACGCTTTTCATCAAAAGAAAGCTTTAGGAATATACTTATATGTAACTAATAGCTTTCACTGTTATCTGAAATGAAACACCTGGAATAAGATACTATTGCTCGTATCACTGGCATCGCAAGGGCTCTGTGATTAACTGCACGTATAAATCACGCTGCTTAGCAGCACAGCAAAGTTTTAGAGATGAAAACACATAGTTCAGCTCAGTGCTCAGTAAGATTTCAGTCCCTGTGACTGGAAAATCACAAGTCCTTGTGATTTTGTGCAGTGACAAAGGTCTCAGAAAAGAGACCAACATTTCCTCCCCATCCCTGTGCCTGGAGTTCACTTCTGGCTGGCTCAGAGCTTTCCACAGTTCTCACCAATGGCAAATGCTAGACCCAGCGACAGAGCTGGAATTTAGGTGGCTTGAGACTGGGCCTGGATTCTTTTAAGCTGTTTTACACAGAGAGAAATAATTCACGGTAAAATCTAAGCAGGGACGAGGCAGGGATGTACCCTCTAATTATCAGTGCTGGAGGAGCACGAGAGGAACGGACAACAGAAAGAGGTCAGGCCTTCATTCTTCCTTCTGCCAGCTAAGTTTCCTTTTTAATAGCTGTACACATTGACCTTGTCTCCACAGGGATTTTACATGATGATGACGAAAATAAAAGTATATGTTTTTCTTTTTGCAGCAGCAGAGGCCTGTGGAAGGCTGAAACTGTAAAATGGAGATACACGAGGGGGTGCCGGAGCTCTGCCGGCACTGCACCCTCGGGAAGGACCATAGGGGACATGGTGCAGTGCAGTGCAGTGCAGGGCTGTACCTCTTCCAGACCCGAATTAATCTCTTTGCCTGCTGCTGCACAGGTCTATACGGATGTACCAGCTCAGATTGGCACTAAACCAGGTATTTTTGAAAAACACACTTCACTGCGTTTTTTGGACACGCAAGGAGAATCCTAAAGCAAAGCAGACCTATGTGCACCACATTAGCCAGGATAAGTGACTTGGCATTTAAGAGAACGTGATCTAACAGTGTCTTTACAGGGTTTACAGGGTTCTGGTTGCATCAGAAAGTCCAGTTCAGCTCAAATGGGTAAATGGGACATGGGGATAGGACCTAGGAGAGGCATTTCAGTTGACTGCTGCTGATCAGAAAGGTCCTTCTATTTTTATTGCTTCCTTCATGCTTTGTTTCTCCCGAGTGCTGATTAAACAAAAGCTCGCATAAGAGGATAAGAGAGGGTTCGGGAAAGAAAAGCTGTAAAAACATGGAAACCTTTATGAATGGTATACAGGACAGCTGAAATGCCACCTCAGAAGAGAGAACTTTGTACTTGTTTCTTCATGAGACTTTCGACAACTTCAGAATTCAGTTCCTTTTTAGGTCTGAATGAGCAGGGTAGGATTTAGCGTTGTTGGTGGGCTCTTCCGTAAATGTGTGAACAGATCTGAATCTGTCCCAGTGACACAGAGCAGACATAAATGAATGGGGCCTAATTAGACAACTGTGTTGGGCCTCCTGCTGCTGTACACTTTTGGATCAAGCTGTAAAAGGAGCTAGCCTGTATTGGATGAACTGGCAAACTTTGCTGTACTGATGATTGCCAGAAGAAATTACAGTATAGTTACACAAACCTAATTAAACAATACAGGCTCAGTTGTATGACAAGTAATGAACACCGTGATAGCCATTCTAGGTAAATGTGATAACCTCTTCAAATTACTATTATTCTGCAGTCAGCTTGATGCAGGTGTGGACAGAGAAACAGATAGTTTTATGGCTATTTGTATCTCGCATCCTCTTTTGATGTAAACAGGGTTAGCTGAAGCTAATGCAATTGTGCCTATGTATACCAGAAAAGAACTTCTATTGGCTATCACTCATTTAAAAAATAAGCTTCTCCAAGAAGAAATCATGTTTCTGTGGTGGTATTAAGACAGAAAATAAATATTTTTCATACCAGTTACAGTCTTTTCCCCTCTCACGTAAATGGGATGAAACAAGCATTCATAAAATAGGCTACTTCATAGGATAATTCAAGTTGGAAGAAACCTCAGAAAGCCTCTAGCCCAACCTCCTGTGCATAGCAGGGTCAACTCGGAGGTCAGACAGGGTTGCTCAGGGCTTTATCCAGGCTGGGCTTGAAAACCTCCAAGGATGGAGACTGCACAGTCTCTCTGGGCAACTGCTTGGCTGTCCTCATGGGGAAAAAGTTTTTCCTTTTATCTGCTGTGAATACCTCTTGTTTCAATTTATGCCTGGCTCTCATCCTCCCACCATGCACCACTGTGAAAAGCCTGGCTCTCTCCTCCTGCCGACCTCCTCAGAGGTATTTGCAGGCTGCCCTCAGCTCCCCGCGAAGCTCTCTCTTCTCCAGGCTGACAAGCCCAGCTCCCTCAGCCTCTCCTCACAGGCCAAGTGCTCCAGCCCCGGCCATCGTGGCAGCCCTCTGCTGAACTTGCTCCGCTCTATCAATGTCTTTCCTATACTGGGGGGCCCAAAGCTGGATTCAAAAGTCTAGACGTGGTCTGAAGAGCCCTGAGCAGAGGGGGATAATCACTTCCCTCGATCTACTGGCTTTTAACGCAGCCCGGGATACCACTGTCTTTCTTTGTTGGCAGGGCGCACAGCTAGTTCATGTTCAGCTTGCTGTGTACCGAGATCCGCAGGGCATTTTCAGCAGAGCAGCTCTCCAGCTGGTCCACTCCCAGCCCATATTTTTGCAGGGAGTTTTTCCTTCCTAGGGACAGGACTTTGCACTTGTCTCTGCTGAATTTCATAGGGTGCCTGCTGGTCCATTCCTCCAGCTTGCCTATGTCTCTCTGAATGGCAGCCCTGTCCTTGACTGTATCTACCTGTGCCCCCAATTTGGTGTCATCTGCAAACATGACAAGAATGCAGTGACTTGCGGTCTCACTTTGAAGACAGATTCTAATCTCTCTACAGAAGAGAGTTTTGCTACAGAGGGGTTTCGCGTTCTGATTTGGTAGCCCTAGCAGGCAGTGTGGTCACCTCAGCGCAACACTAAGACAGATGTCTCTGAGTATTAATACAGATGCTGAAAACTGCAGGGTTGCTGATAATGAAGTCTTCTGGTTTTTCTCCTTTTATCACTTCATCTGCCACTCACCTCATGGCTGACAAGCCAAGAGGCTGTGTAAGACTGCAGTTTGGGAGGGAGGAATGGTCTCTTTGTAAAGGCAGAAACCACTTAAACATTAACTGATTGCAAATCTGCTGAGAGTGTTCTATGTATCCTTTGAAGGTATTAATGCGCAGGTATTAATGAAGGTATTAATCACAGTGTGTGACTTCTGCAGAATCCTGAGATAAGCCAAGGTCGGGTCTATAGAACTACACTGTAGTAAAGAGCAGAGAGAAAACCTTCTCACGGCTGTAACCCGTCCAGATGGATTGGTAATTCCCCACCCAGGAAAATGGGCGCACAGCTGAGCAGAATTGAGGGTTACAACAGTGTTCACTTTAACAGGTATACTTGGGGTATACAACAGGAATACAGGTATACTTCAGGTTCAGTAGCTGAAGTGCAACAGCTGACCACGTACATGATGTTAGCCTGTCTCAGCTGCAAGGGAGATACGCTAGCACAAATGACAGCGAAGGTTTTGCACCCGGTTGTGCATCCAGACTCAAACCGTTTAACCTCAGGGCTCCCTCGAAACTGTGGAAGTGATGGACTAGGACACAGAAAATCACGGTCATTCTCTCTCCTAGGTACAGCCCAGATTTGTGAAGCCGTCTCCCTCGCAGTGAGCAACAGGCTTCCTGACCAGTGAGCGTGGGCTTAAAGAAAGGCATGGCGTTGCTGTGTGAAGAGGTAAGACGATTCCCTTCAGTGTGACAAAACATCAGAGAGGGCAGGTACCTGCTAATGCCAGCTTGAGAGCCTTGAAGATGCTAGGTTTCTTCTGGGAGCTTTCATAAAGAGAAGGCAGAGCAATAGTCTTGCACGTCGACTGGAGGAAGAGATAAGCACTGCCAATCCAAGGAGCGGAACTGCCTGCCATCTTCAGCACCCTACAAAATCACACAGGTGAGTTGAGACCATAGTGAAAACAGACCAATGCCAGGTGAGCATAGCAAACACTAAGCATAAGCATGATAGGATTACAGAGATTTACCCTTAGTTCCTAGAGGGGGTGGTAATATCGTTAAAACAAGTGTAACCTTTAAGGAGCTTACCGTTATTCTGTAAAGCACAGCACGATGGGACATGGTGTCCCAAAGACTCGGCAGCTCACAAAGCTTTCCGTTCATTTTCCACCAGAGTCTGTTCATTTCTAGTCCAGAGAGACTCTGAAGCACAGAGCTTCGGTCCTCGTGCCTCTGACTGCATGGCCGAGCTGGTGGAGTTTGAAGGTACAAACATGCTGGGGGAGCTCCAAGGAGCACCCAGCAGTCCTGGCCCTGACATGTTCACGCATCCTATTGCAGGCCTTTTGCCTGAGGTCCTGGTCTCCTGACTGTCCTTTGCTAAAGATTACACTGCAGTGCCCCATGGCTCCCTTGCTGCCCACATGCTAGTATGGAAAGGAGAGGTGGGCACCTGAGGTGCACAGCCTAATTTCTCCCCCACACAGTCAGGATGCAGCCAAGATGCGCTCTGGAACCAAGGACTGTAAAAAGCAAATTGATTTCCAGGAGACTGAGATTTCACCCCAAGAGTTTAGATCAAAAAGAAGGTGTATCAGATTTCTCTAGGCATGTCTGCAGCATCAGTTACCTCCACAGCCACTTAAAGCATCTTATACTCTAACAGACAGTGCCCCTTGGCTTTGGGTTTTGGAAAGCGCTGTCTAATTTGGCTAACAAGGCGAGCTTAAACAAGCCTGAGCTGTCTTTGCCAGAGGACACAGCTGGACAGAGGTTGCAAGATTTATTCCTTCCTAACCTCCATCCTGCTGGCCCATGCTGAAATCTCCATTCAAGGATACTACTGTTTTTATACTGTTGAAAAAGAAACTCCTTATCAGTAGTTCTACCAAACTGTTGGTAAGCATGCACGTGCTCCAGAGAGTCAAAACCTGCCTTCCCAGCAAAACTAATCTCTGTCAGCAAGATGCAGAGCCTCCAAAAATCTTTAAAGCTAGGCCATGGCATGAGAAATGACACAGGGAGACTGATACAAACCACAAAGATCCCAAGCAGGAACCAGCACAAAACGCACTGCGGAGCTGCTGACACATGCAACCCCAATGCAGCAGGGCCTTATGAGCCTCGCGCAGGCAGGAAATCTCCTAATTTCTCTCCGTCAGTGTCAGCCATGATCTCCTAACCCGTTTCTAATAAACCAGAGGAGGTTGTACAGCCAGACGCTGCCCCCTCAAGTTGCACAGGGCTCAGCAGGGCTGCCTTTCCAGGCGCTGGCACTGTGGTCCTTAACCGAACCTGAGGCCGTGGGCTCAGAGGACATATGGGAGCAGTTTTGGCAGCCAAACCCTTTGCACAGCTCATTGGACAAGTCATGAGGTTTCCATCTGGGGCTCTGACTCTGCACTAGTGACATTTGACTCGTGAACCAGGATGGTCAGGGCTGTCTCTTTGCATTACATACTAGTTCATTTATTATTCCTCTCCCACCATTGGCCTTTTACAGCAAAGCATCTGAAAAAACAGCAAATCCACATCTTTATTCTCATTGGGCCTGCACCTGGCTGGCCAGCTAATGCAACGCTTACATCTGTTGCAATTGAGACTGCACTCAACTCAGCTCCCAAGGCAAAGGCAAACCAAAAAGCCTCCCAGACTACAAAAGCTAAGAACGGGAAAGCTGTACTAGACTGGGCAATGCAGGACTGAAGCTGCAGCTACCGGAGAGCACGTATCTGACAGCGGTAGGAGACGGCCACAGCTACTTCTTTTTGCTGTGCACGCAAGCTGTTTGAACTTGCTGGCGAGCTGGTCGGTGCAAGCCCCTGGAAGCTGCTCCCACGCAGAGCTGCGCTGGGAGCCGTTCGGTGACGTCACGGTGATGAGCGATTTGGGGCTTTTGGCCCTGCCGCAGGCCCAAGTCCTGCCCACTCTTTCTCTGCGTGCTTACACCTCTGTCACACCATCAGCTTCTTGCCCTCGGGGCAGCCCTTGCTTCCTTCCTGCTTTCTGCCTTGTTACTTAAAGCCAGCAGCCTTGCCTCGGCGACTGGGCAACGGCCGGACGCGGTCCGACTGCTGGCCACGATGCTGTGTCCCTCTCTTCCTCTGACTTTTAGACTGCAGGTGGGAAGGGGACCCTCTCTGGTCACCAGGGACTGCCAGACCTACAAGGATGCGTCCTCCAGACGATAGCTGGGCCTACGAACCGTTTTGTCCTCTGTAACATGGTCAAAAAGGGCTCTGGGACATATGAGCCACCCCGATTAGTAAACGAAACTCATCAGGGCAAAGACTGTTTTCTTCCTGAAAGCTTCTCGCCTAAGCACTTGGAACCTTTTACTTGTTTTTGGAAATATAGGAAATAACCAGTGAATCATAAAGTTCATACTGAAACTTCAGGCGCTCTAGGAGAGCCCGTGGGAGGCAGGAGCGCGTGGCTCCGGGCGGCGCTCGCACAGGCCTTTCCAAAAGGAGCGCATAAAGAAGAAAGAGGAAGATGGGCTGCTGTCGCCAAGTCCAGCTCTGGGAACGTTTTCGTTTGGGTACCCGTCCCCTGGTGTCTCGCAGCGGGAGGGTAAAGGAAAGCCGAGAAACACCTTAGCGAACTAAGGACGTGCCAGGCGACCAAGTTTTAACCCGCAGAACGGTTCAGCGTCTTTTCCAGTGCGGACGCGCGGCCTCCG